CATGCCGTGCGAGCGGAGCGCGGCATGCCGGGAGCTGTAGTCTCCGGAGCGGGGGGGGAAGGGGGAGGCGCCATGAGGGAGGCGGTGGCGCAGCTGACTAAACTCTCCGCATCCTCGTTTCACAGGAGGCACAAGCCGCGCTCAAAATTAGGGCTGGTTACAAAGCCAGAGAGAGCAGAGCCGGTTGTGCTAGAATAGTCCCTTTTCCCACCGGCTTTACCTGCGTAATGGGAATATCCCTGGAAAACAGCGCTGTCCTCTCTTTCGGGATAGCTTGTGACACCTGCTTCCCGGCGTTTGCACGTCGGTTTGGACAGGTGGGCTGTAAAAACAGTGAAGCCTGCGCTCTGATTCGGAGCAGGACCCACAGCTCCGGTGAGGATTGCAAGTCACCAGTTGTCTAAATGGGTGTTTTGTAAGGTACCGTAACAAACGTTTGGACCTAGCTTAGGTGAGTTATTTGCATAACTGCAGCGTGGCTGCGCTAGTGTCAGGGCCCGGTGCGTAGTCTAGGGTGGTTGGGAGTGTATTTCAGTAACTTTTCCATCTGAGTTGGTTTCTGCCCCAAAGCAGAATGGGAAAGTCATGAAATTTTAGTCTTTCAGACCAAAGGATGTTCAGAAGAGAGGATTTCCCAAATCTCCCTATGCTCCGTGTTGCTAGGCAATGGAAAGAGGGAATATGGCAAGTAAAGGCTGATCCTAGAGCTTCCTTAGGACACAAAAACTCTCAGCCACACTGCAGCAGGTTAACAGCACCAGGCTGCATTCATATCTGTTCCAGCTTTCTGCCCTTCTTCGTGGTATTACCACACAAAGTGCATTATGTTTTAAGTGAACTGCAGTGCTGTTTCCTCTCTCTGCCTTGCCGGTCCTTTCAGGTCCTTTCATCTGTTTTGGCACCTCTGATTACCATGCAAATTTGGGGATGGTCGGCTGAGAGGTTGTCCTTGCACAGAAAGATTGGCTAATGAGTTGTCTCTACCAGAACAGCCTGGGAGGCCAAAAACTTTACTGGCAGGGTGAATTTGAAAGGTTTTCTTTTAGCAGAGATATGAAATATGTGGGCTTTTTTGGTTCTTCCCCACTGGCTACATGCTCAAAATATTCTTCCATACCAGCATAGCTGTGGCTGCATGTGGCATTAGCTGACTTAAATCCTTGGGGTAGAAACTAAACTTTGGCAGGTAGATTTGATGAGAAAAGAAAAAGGGATTGAGGTGGAGGTTTCTTTGCTTTTAAGTTTGGTATTAAGCAGGGAAAATAAACCCTCCTGAGCACAGGAAACTATATCGAGCAAGTCGGTCTCAGGGAGAAGCAGGAGTCTGCTGCACATGTTGGAATCTTATAAGCATCACAGTAGACGAGCACAGTCAGAGCTTCTTGTATGGGCACACTGAAACCATCTAGCTTCCTTCTGCACACGGACTGGCGTGATGAGCTTCTGCAGGACTGGCCGAGCACCCAGGAGTCAACCTACAGGGGTGAGCCCTGCTTGCGTCTCACCAGTTACAGAGCCTGCAGCTCTGTTCACATATACTTGACACGCATGCTTTTTCCCACTCCCCCAGGACAGTCAGCCGTGCTGCAAAACCCCAGTTCAGTCTGACGAGTAAAGCACTGAAGTCCAGCAAGACCATTAAGAGCAAATCAAAACGAAGAAGAAAAGCTGAAGCATGAGTAATCAAACGGAAACGTGGCACCAGGTCAAAGTAAAACACCAAGTGCAAGGCAGTCCCAGGGGCAAATCCAAGAGCAGTCAGTTGGCTGCAAGCTTGGATTGTGGAGGCCTCCAGGGCTCGGGGTTTCAGCCATCCTTGCCTCTAAGGACACCAGCGTGGTCTGCCAAGGCTCTGTGTTGCAATGCAGAGAATGCCTTTGTCTGGTAAATGATAGGAGAGAAACAATTCCTGAGCACCACATGGGGGACCCAGCAGCTGACTACAGGGTTTGAGTCATAAGTCACAGGCAGAAGATTGCTTCTCCCCTTCCCCCGCCTTCCCTCAGACATTTAAAAGGCTCCTAGTATATTAGCTCTAGAAATACAAAAGTGCAACTTAACCAAATTCGTGTGCCTCATCAGCACCGGAGATGAGCTCTGTTTCTCCCCTAAGACTCAAAGTCATCAGTGCAGCTGCCAGAATACAAGCTCCCACTGTGCTTAAGGAAAGCTGTTCGCCTGAGTTTGTAGGGCATGGCTTGCAGTCGTGCTGCTAGCCTTGGCTTCATGCAGGAGAGAGCTATATCTCTGGAAAAGGCACCTGAGAGGGACGTGGGAATACCTGAGCCCTTCAAGAACGTGCACTGCTGCAGCTGCTCCACGTAGACAGGCTTTCAGGGATAAAAACAAGCCATGGGAGAATCCCCCCTAAAGGCAGCCGAGGTCTTAATTCACTGCCAGCCTAAACCACCAGCTCAGCGTATGAAAATCAGAACAATAAAACAAACCAGCTCCAGTAAGTTGCAGTTGCTTAACAAGTTCCTATGCATCAGCAAAGCTATTGTAACTGTTCACATGAGCGTGGCCAGCTACTGCTGGCTGTGAGGGGCTATGACCCAGCTTCAAACCCATCTTGCAGTCAGGCCGAGCCCAGAGAAAACCTGGATGGTAAAGATAACTCAAACGATAGGTGGTAGTTTGTGATGCTGCCATATCGCCTGTGCCTTTGGGCTAGAGAAGGAAAGCACAGTGTGGCAGGCAGAGCTTGTCTAAATCCCAACAACCCTTCTCCCGGCTTTCCAGTATACTCTGAGGCAGAATTAACTCAGGAGAATTCTCTCTCAGCGGTTCTTCAATTACTGCTGTTATTATTTGTATTGTGATAGCCTCTATGGGTCCTCACCACAGCCCAGGCACCCTCGTGCCAGGAAGGGAACACACACAACAAAGGTTGCAGCGCCCATCAAACACGCACGCTGGAAACTAGAAACCTCGATCGGCAACTATGGCCCTGTTTGGGTAGGCACTACCCACACATGTTGGCGAAGGAACAGTCGAGCTCTCACAGAGATTATAGTTTTTCAAAAATATGCTGGAAAGGAGCTGCCCTTGGAAGAGAGCAAGAGAGAGATGACTTCCCTCCTCAAAGCAAGAGCATCGCCCGCAGTGAAGAGAGCAGTAAGGCCCACGGGGAGAGTTCCTCAAAGCATGGGTGGTTCCCGAATCATTAACTGGATTCTTTCACATGCTGTGAAATATTCATACTCTTCCCTAAACATGTTCATGAAGAGAGGCGCAGCCCTTTCTTTGCAGACATTGTCTTGCTGTCTCCGTGTATCTCTCTACTTATTGTCTCTTGCCTCTTATTTGTAAGAGTGCAAGTTCTTTGCAGCAGAGACCATCTTTCATCCTCTTTGTATGGTGGCAGACAAAAGGGGATACTCTCCATGACCGCAACACAGGAGGGTAATACAAATAGCATTCCATGGCTGGTACAGACAGGCTATGACCATTGCCAACAATAAAGACAAGTGGAACTGATCCAACAGATCAAACTGTGCCATTAAAGCTCTGACAGATGAGCTCTAGCAGAACTTGCCATGCTACTTTGAGATGTAACTACAGAGCTCAAGAGCAATCCTCCTTGAACAAGAAGTGGTCACGCTGAGGGGAGCAAAAGACTGACACCTGGGCCAAAGCTCCCAGAACTCACAGATCACAGCTTCAGGAAAACAGAACTTGTCTCAAACTCAGTACATCTTTACGAAGTGCTGATAGAAGCAGAGTGAACCTCCCTCCATCTTAAGCTAGTTGAGAAACCAATTCAGCCATATGTGACAAAGCAGCAGCTAGATTTGCTAAATCCAGATTCTTACCTTAAGGAAGGTAAACCCAGTGCTGAGCAAGGGCAAATACAGAAACTGATATGGTTGCTTACTCCTAAAGGGAAAAACAACAGTGCTCCAGTGCCGCCACACACCGTGAAAAAAGGAGAATAAACTGAAACCAGGCAGTATTAAAATGAGAGCCTGGAGGCCAGCAGTTGAGCAGAACAACATCAAACCAACCATGCGGGAACAGCTGACTGATAAGGTGAAGACAGCCTGAATAACAGCACTGCTCCACCCAGCCTGCATCAGCACTGAATCCAACAGGCAGGGAATCACCATGGGAGAGAGTAAAACCATGGAATTTGACTTCCTGGTAAATTATCAAGACACCCCCCAGTTCTAAAAAGTTACCCCTCCCCCCCAAAAAAAAAGAAAAAAAAAAGAACGGGGAGGTGAGGGGTAGAGCATCATATAAATCAGAGAGCAAGAATTTCTTGCTGTTAACAGAAGCCAAAAGCTTTTCAGGAATTCCTTTGGACACAGCCTCCAAAAGATAGTACATTTGCCTGATCCACCTTAAAACAGTACAGCTTTTCAAAGCCTGGTAATCCATGATAACTAGGCCATAATCCTTCCCCCTCCAGCCTCACAAAAACCAATAAAGTCATTATTGCCAAAAGGGTGCACTAAATACAGATGCATTCGGCTATTAATGGGTTTTGCAACTATTTGCTGTCTAGTAACATAAACACTGAACAGAACGCGTGCACCCTTGGGTGCAGGAGAACGTGCTTGAAAAGAGAAAAACGCTTTTCAGAAAGAAAGAGTAAGGCCATCAGGTGCCTAAGAGAATCTCAAAGCAGTGCTCTTTATTTGCAAGTCTGCACTTCTTCAGTACTGATCTGACATATCTGAACCACTTTACTTACCGCATGTTACAAGCACTACAGCTGCAGCTTGACGGTGAATGGGTGTTTTTTACACGATGGTTATCACAAAGTGTGGTATCTCATATTACCTCTACTTGGGAAAAATGGTCTTGCTGTCAGCTGCAGCAAAGAGTTCAAGTGCCTCCTTCTATGCCTCTTTTTCAGTTTTCTGAGACCAACTGACAAAACGCACTGCCTTCCCCTGCTTAATCGTTGCTGGTAATGAAACCAGGCTGCAGAGAGCAGAGTGGACTGGTTACCTCTCTAGGTTAAAACTTTACTACTGTGAAGTTGCCAGGACCTGGCAGGACTAAGCAGTTGTGAGTAGCAGCTCCTCTAGGACATCATTTAAGCAGCCAGGTTTGGCTGCTGTGAACCTCTGTTGTAACAGCAGCCACAGAACTGAGCTGACCTCCCACAGTATTGCTGTCTTGCAGGAACAGAGAGAAACAAATCCAAACAATTAGGGGGGAAAAAAAAAAGCTACATTGGAGAAAAATATTCAGGGCCCCAGGATTGCCTTTGAATGACCCTCACAACTTGTGTTCTTCTCCAGTCACAGTCTCCTTTTCCGTATGGGGGCTGACGGGGCAGGCTGCCTCCACAAGGGAAACAAACTATTTTTTTTGTTGATCCTCCAGTGCCTTGTTTCCCAGGCAGCTTCTGTCCGGCTGGAAAGCACCAGTGGAAATTGCTATTAAATTTAGCTCGTATGGCTTCATGCTTGCCTTATACAAGTATCAGTGGCTGCACAATGGGTGAGGCAAAGGGGGGGGAACGCACCGCTGAATGACCCAAGGCAAACAAAATGCAGAAATCAAGAATGGACTTTGCTCTAAATTAGTTTTGCTTCCAGTAAATTGGGGAAGGGAGCAATTGTGGGAGAAGAACAGGAATAGAGTTTTTAACGCTGCGGTGTCAGTAAGAAAAATGGTTAGCCACTTCCATCACTAGACTAGAGCGGGCCTCTGCTTCTGCGCTTTGTGGGTGCTGGGCGCTGCGCTTGCACAGAAATCACGGCAGCGGCACTTCCTCTGGACGCGCTGACCAGCTGCTCGAAAGAAACGGCAGCATCGGGGGAGCAGCTGCAACTGCACGAGGATTTGCATCATCTCCACGGGTGCCGGACACGCCTCTTCCACGTTCGTCCCTTAAGACAGGTTTCGGTGTGATTCTGTTCCTTGCTCTTTGGTTTTCATTTAGGAAAACTGAAAGTCACTAAAAAAAAGCATTACTGCCAAACATTGACCTTTATTTTCACCCACAGACACAAATCAACTAGGTGAGACAAACAATTTATCTCCCTTTTTGTCTCTTTCCTTTTTCTTCTATGAAATAAATATTTTAAAATAATAAACATCGGCTCAGCACTGAGCCTGTAAGGAAACAACACATAGGAAAGGAATTATTCACAATACTGATAGTTCAACATTATTGCAGTAGAAACATATAAATATATTCAAAGGTGAAACATATAAATATATTCAAAGGTTTCATTTTACAAGATTTGAAGTGCAACAAGTCATTTAACAACTAAAAACGTTAGAAACCACTGTCAAACAGACTGGAGACCACCACCAGCAGTGTTTCAAAGCAAAGCAAAGCCCACAGGGAGCAATTTAACATCATTCTAGAGATCACTTTATGGTGTAAAAAAGAAAAATAAGGCAGTGCACGAAGTAGCTTAGTATTTTAAATTATTAAAAATGCCAGTTGACAGTAGTATGAAAACAAAGGGAAGACGGGAGCGGCTGGGAAGAGGAGACTGGGAGAGGGGAAACAACCCACAAAGCCAGCTGCTCTCTCGTGAAAATATCGACTAAATTGCAGCATTTCAGAATCACTAATAAAGCATTAAATAAAAAAGGTAACTTTAAAAAATGCATAATCCAGGGCTTTTCAGCAACTCCCTCATTAGTTGGCGGATCCTTGAGTAAACATTTTTTTTTTCTATTTTCTTTGCTGAACTGACTAAAACTATTTGGACAAAGATCAAGCTGTACTGACTGCTAGTGCTCATCTACACCCTCGCGCATAGGTCACTGCTTCAGTTTGGGATGTCATTTTTTTTTTTGGACTGACCTATGCCAAAGCGTAGAGCTTAAACTTCTTTTTCTCACCTAGGGATAGGTCTGCAGGCATGATGCTGGGGCCTCCAGCAAAGCGAGGGGAAGCCTGCACACTGAGCTACATCGGGGCAACGATGCTGCTGCACCCTGCCAGGAGCTTCTGAGCAATGGTGAGTCCCGCTTGACCGAGGGCTGGCCAGAGAGATGCCGAGGGCTGGCAGAAAGCGCTCGTCTCAGACCGCTCCTCGCTGGAGGAAAGGCACATTTTAAAGGCAGCCCCAAAGCCGCAACAACGTTCAGCTGACGAGGGCTTCAGGAAGGAGGTCTTCCTAATTGCCCCTCTTCCTCCACCCCAGTATTTTAAATAGGAGAATAAACAGCATCTGCCTTCATCAGAAAAATCATGCAAATGTCCCAGGCCTGCTGATATGGCAGAACATTTACCAACAAATGGTTTCAATAATTCGCTCGTGAACCTGGCCTCATGCTGGCTCTTTAATCAAGCCAGTCTCCCAAATTTAATACAGCTGGGGAACTAGTGAACTTCAGTTTTGGGTAACAGGAAAAAAAGACATTTGAAAAGATCTCAATCGCAACCTTTCTGTACAATCATGGTTCCTCCTGGTTTCCACACAGTCTTTTAAAAACACACACACTCAGTAAGGAGAGATTTATTCTATTATTTCTCTTTTCAAATTTTTGGTACAAAGTTTATTTTGAGACGTTCCCACAGGATGCTTTCTTCTACCGGCGTCTTTTAGGGTTTTTTCTATCTCTGATTTATTTTCTTTATCTGTTGAAGCAAAAGCAATAATTGCTACAGAAAGCAATAATGGCAATATTACAATTATTTTACAGCAGCATTCATTCACTTCTTTGCCTCAAAAAAATAATAAAAATAAATCCAAAGACAAGATTTGTCCTGCCACAAAGGCTTAGGTTCGTAATGTCAAGAAGTATGCTGCGTTCCCATACGTGAGTTGTACAAGTCCAGCACAACTTTCCAAGTTTGTGCAGAGCCTGATAAATAAGACACAGAAATATCGGTTACGTTATACTGTTTCTAAGAACTTTTACTCTGTAAAATGTTTGGTCACTCAAAGCTATAAGCTTAATCACATATCAAAGAACACAGGCAATAAAGCCCATCTTACTAGAACATATAGTAATAGGCCAAACAAAATATAGGAGGACAAAATCTAGTGGTCACTGAAGCCTCTTCAAAAAAGGTCTAAAACAGAATGTTTCCATCATGTCTCTTAATAAAAACGTACTGTATTAAAATTTGATTTTTTTGTTTTTTTACAAGCTGTCTTTTAATCAGTCTTCTATTTACAGTGCAGAACTTCTGCCAACTGCAGTAGTTTAACTTTGGCACAACACTAAGTTCCAATCCTTTTGAGTATTCAAGTCCTGTGTGTGTCCAAAAATTTTCTTGGTTTCACGAAAGATTAGGCCCATTCACAGTTAACCAGTTATCTTGAACTTTTTCAAGAATTGCTTCCCCTTCACCACATTGGGCAGCTACAAAGGAAAGACACTGTAAGCTATTGCATCGTTCAAGAGAAACTCTTCATTCTAAACAATAATAGTATTGTTGCTTCCTTTAACATCACATACACCAGACAGATCACACAGACTGCTACATACTGAACACCTTCTAAAAACCTTGCTGGTCGTTAGTGAATCGTCTTCCTCATACTTCAAATACATAACAATGCATTAACTTAATTTCATTTCACATGTCAAACAGGACATTTAAATATATTGCAATATATTATAGAAATTGCAAAACTCCATCATTTCTGTAAACGAGATCGACACCTGTTAACTCTCCTGTGCACACGAAGAGCCGTACCTAGTGCCACATTTTCTATACAATATAAAGCCTTCCCAGGTAGGGCAACTCATTCATTTTTAGTGCATTTCTGTACAAACTGTAAGCATACATGCAGATAACCAACTGAGCAAAACTGAGAACACTTTTGTAAGCTGGAACTGAAGGGGGGAGGAACATTTCAAGATCATAATGAAGCTCTTGTGGTTGATCTTTTCGTATCACAGACGAAGACGTGGCAACTTGAACTCTTCTGTCATTCTAGCAGACTCTTTAGGGAAACTTTCATGATAGGTATCTAGTATTGAATAAGCATAAGGAAATACTTTGATCAATTGGACACACATAATATGTATCTTAACACATTCTAAGTTACGCAAAGTCCAATGTTTATATAGAAATCTTACTTCTATAATACTTTAGAAATCAAAAGTCATATTTAAGCAACGGTATTATAACCAAAGATCAATTACTTTATCCGCCACTGTAGCGCTACCTGCTCAAATCAAAGATAAGGCCTCACGCTTCCCAGCAAGCATCAAGTGGGAAGTGGAGGTGAGTACCACGGCTAACCACAGTGAACGCCCAACGGGGCACAACAACCAAGTGCTGCAGTCGGCCAGCCCGCTCCAGCTCAGGCTGCAGCTCACGGGGCCAGCTGCAGGCATTTAGGACAAGCTGACCTGCACTCATCAGCTACACTGACTAGCTCTTGGTCACTACAGATGGATGCTATGACGTCTTGCTCAGGTGTAGACATCAGCATGTCATTAGAAAAATCCCACCTTAAATCATGAAAAGTGCCACAAGATCCTTAATTACTCTATATTTTACAATATTGTGTAAGTCATTTTTGCAGGGAGTATCCACTGGAAAAGCACAGATTCTCTTCACTGCAGAAGGGGGCAAAAAACCCCAAAAGCTCAGGCCGTTCATTTGAAAATATAGGCTGTAAACCTTCTGTGCTTCAAAAATCTCCCTCTTCTAAAAGTGAGAAAATGGTAAAGAAATGTGAGCAATTGGGTGTTTATAAATAGCTGTTAAAGGGATTCTTCACCTTCTTTTACAACTTATTTCATTTTCAAATCTTTTCCTACAGCATTTTAATACATAATCAAAACTCAAGTAACTTGACCCAAGAAGTTTGTGTCCTGCTACTTGCTAAACCTGCTTATCCTAGGATATTAAAAGCTTTATGGAGAATACAGGAGTGACCCAGCATCAGTCATTGCAGGGAACTGAGCGCTCTACTCGTCTTTTCCATGCTAATTTATACAATCATCCCGGACGTTCTGAACAACTCAACAGTTTTAATGATCTCTGATCATTGATACTATCCTTCCATTAGTATCTAATGTAGGCAAAGTGATTCTCCAAGAAACAGGAAATTAAATCAAATAAAATAGCTGCATTTTATTGCACTCTATTTTTGTGCATTCAGGTTAGGGCAATGGATATTTAGTATTACAGAAGCTTAATGTTTTATCTTTTCTCCTCAGAAGATGTGAATATAGACAGATACGGGACTGAGGCGGGAAACACAAATTGATACTGTCATATTTACAGAAGCAAACACTGACATCCAACCTGAAAACACCGTACTCGGTTAAGTGCAAAAGGGAAAATACTTCCCACCTTAAACTACAGCTTGGTTACTCAGCAGTCAGCAAAAAGTTGTCAGAAATTCTGCTGCGCTCTCGTTTCAGAGGAAAACGGAGGAGGAGAACGTCTGCGTCTTTGGGCTTCCTGGCCTACAGGACTGCATAAGGCTATGAATCACTTTGTATGGGCTCCAAAAATCCTTTCTCTAGTCTGTAGAGGAAAAGGAAGTGCTTTTGCCTGCCTCAGAGTTCCTTGGTGAGTAGGAAGAAAATAGGCTTTTGCCCAAAGTCAGCAAATCACGCATCGAAAAAATTATTTCTGTCATGTGTGCACTCTGTCTGCATTGAGTTTCCTTCCCAATAATCCAAGTTACTGCTAGGAAGTATATTGCATATAATGTTGTGGAAAAGCAGGTTTAAAAATGGTCCTGGACAAAGCTCAACAATTGAGTGGCCTGATTTACTACAGGGTATTAGAGATAATCCACTAAATTCTAATCATGAGGTACTAGATATCTTTGCTCACTTTGCTTTCAAAGCAAAACAGAGATTTCTAGGTGCTAAAAATGAGTGATTGCAGTACTTAACTTACTTGTTCTGTCAGAACAGCAAGAGTAAAACTTGTTTTGCTTATCAAGTTTTAGGTAAGTAAATTCTGCAAAAGTCAGAGTCTTCAAGCTTCTGCATTCTCCTTCATTTCCACTTCTTACAAGCCGGTGTCAGTTCATTCAAACCTTCCGGGAGGGATAGGTCTGACTTGCTTTTTACAACTAACTCCAATTCTGGGGTCATTAGGAGGTCGATACTGGGAAGATAGCACTACTTAGATGGAATCGTGCTCTTTCATTGTCCTCAGAGCTAACGCAAAGCATGCCAGTAAGCAGCACGACACAGTGATAGTGAATGCCTCTCCTCGTTCTGACACCAGAATGTGTGTTCCTTTCCCCCTCTCCCTCTCTCCATCTGGCACAGGATTATCTTTATTCTTGCATTAGCTGAATTCCAGAGACAGCAGTAACTAGCCTAATCAGATCAGGTACCCTTGGCAGAAAGAGTAGATGAACAAGGAAGCTCTGCTTTAGTTGCGGAATAACTCACGTTCACAGCTAAATTCCACAGCAGTACTCTCAGTGAAGACCGAGAACCACCCAACAACCTAGAGGTAAGATCCGAGCAAGACCAAATTGTTTCCTCATCTCACTTTCAATGACAGTCATCAAAGCCTGGCTCATAACTAGCTCCAATTTAAGAAAAGAAATGCAGAAAGCACACCACAAGCTCGTCTACACACAGATATTCTGGAAAACCAACAAAATCCCATACGGACACTTATTGCAGAGCAGATGTACTTTCTTGACCCATTTTCCCCCTCTGTCAACCTAGCTCACTCCAGGTGGATTCCAAAAAAACATCCAAATGTAGATAAGCTATAAGAGGGAGTCAGGCTGCAGAGGTACACTGTGGAGCTAAACAGGGATGCTCAGATTCATCATATTTAGATGCTTGCCGACATCTTCAAGTTCAGAAAGTTGCCTCTATGTAACTAGTAGACAATGAGAATGTGCTGTATCCCCTCCATCCCCCAGGCAACTTCTGTTTCTCTCAGTTGACTATATAGTGTGCCTCGGCCACCCAAATGAGGCCCGCAGTGGCCTATGGTTAGATGAGAAGATTCTGGGCTAAACCACTGCTACCAGTAGCTTTGGGTTCCCACCTGCCACAATCCCAACACACAGATAAACAGACCATCCTGTCACACTGTCAACATGCTGACAGCTCCTTCTATGCTTTTTCTGTTGCTTCTAATGAAGGAGGCCTCTGGAAAGGAGTCTGCCTCCCCCAGGACACAGTGCAAATATATAAATGTTGTAAACATGCAATAAACTGGTCATTAATGGACTCCCATTTTTGCAAACAGAAATAAAGGACAGATTGTGAACAATGGTAAATGCAAACAACTGCTATCTTTAGGCGTGCACCTATTCAGATTTCTCTTATCCTTGGCACTACTTAAAGGCTTACAACGTGCATCTAGCCTTAAGGAAATGTGGGTACTCCGCATCACTCAGCAACTGGCCCATAGCACATGGTTTCATGTAAATTCTAAATTCTGCAAATGGATGATGTCCCTCAATAGGTTGCAAATTCGGTTATAGCCACTGGAATACACAGAACTATAATATTTACAGCAGCTGACAATCTGACTCAGTATACTATCAACCATCATCTCTGATCATTTTAATGAAAGAAGACTTCCATCCAACTATATTTAGTCTGATAAACAATGTGTTTCCTCTTCCTGTGTTTTTCAGACCAGATGTGCTAAGGCCTACCATTGTAGTTGAGTGTTATTTAACAGAACACTGCCAAAATGGAAAATTTCCCAGTGTAATTATATAATGAACTCAGATCTTTATTTTTTTCCCATCTTTTTAAAGAAGGTTAGATTCAATGCTAAGCTAAATGCAGTCTTTGCTAACGAAAAGGGACATTTATTTAGGTGGGTTTTTTTTTTTTTTTGCGGGGTGGGGGGGGGGGGAAGGGAAAAATTATTTCTGGCTCACCCTTAAGAATTAAGGCAACTCCAGATTTTGCTTGCTAGAGGCATATTTCCAAGAAGTTTCGGGATTTGCTTTAATATTTTTGAAAATTTAAAAACAGCACGTCTTTCCCTCCTTGTTTGTCCTTTCCCACTCAGCAAGCACTGCATTTTGACCCTGTATTCCCACTGGAGCTTGAAGCTAACGTGAATCTTTCTTTACTAGCATCTGCGACAGCCTCATCCCTACTATTACTTGCCAAATGAGAATACTGCCTAACCACTTTTAGCAGTCGATGCCGAAAAGGCCAGATTCTAATCTCTCTTAAAGCACTTATCTCCTGACTCGTGGGACGCCCATGAAACACTCACAAAACAGTTGTGCTTCTCCCCCCTCAGCCCACAGTTAAACTGAAGGATGAGAGGCTTGTCCTCACAGTGATAAGCACCATGAGAAAAGAATCACACTGCTGGCTGCTTTGTGCCTTGGTTCCCCCAACTCAATGCCAGGGAACAGTTTCATAATCAAATCTGTGTAATACGCAGCGTGAGCCATTGCCTTTCGTCCTTCCAGCTCACCCCAGTAACTGGCTTTCATGCAGACCGTTCTCCTGCAACTCAGGCAGCCCGTCAGATCTGCGAGCAGAAAGATCCCTCTGCTCCCTCTGTGTCCCGAGAGGGAGCGGCAGTCAGGAAGGCTAACAATATTTTTTGTCAGACATTTTTCCCCTTCTTGTTTTGACCTGGGTTTCACCCATAATCAGGCATGAAAAAGATGATCTAATATAGACTCCTCTGCTGCAGCAAATCATGACTAAAAGGGCTGTCTTGATCTTTTGATAGGTGCTTATCACAGTGAGGAAGAAAGAATAGTTCTAGATTAGGTTCTCGGAAATATGGAAACATTAGGACCAGTTTTTTTCTAAACTAATCTGCCTCTCATTGGTCAACAGAAACAGATGCCTACGAAGAAGATGCTGACAGATGTGCAAAAGGAGACTGCTGGAATACTTTCTGCTACAGCCAATATAAAAGCAGACAACGCTGGCAACAGCAGCGCCAGTGCAACTCCTTTGGACACCTACATCTGAAGTAACCTATCCCTAAAAAATGCAGGCAGACAGTAGCAAGAACACACACTACTCCTTGGACTTCCAGTGCTCATCTGCCTAAACTCGTGAATATGGCCTACTGTTTTTTAGCTGGCTATTCAAACACTACTACTATATTATACCCTTGGGACCAAGTGGCTTTTTTTTTTTTTTTTAGACACGTATTTAAGATGCAGAATATATTCTCCATCAGATTAAACGACTTTTGGAGTTCAGCTCAGATAGATCAAACTTCATCTCTAGAAATAAGCGTGTTCACCCAACAGTCCTAAAAGCAATCAGGATAGTGGTGAGCTGAATCCATTAGGATGAATTTAGGTTAAGCTTGCACAGAAATTATTCAGCTGGGCTTCTACTGAAGAAGAACAAGTAAACATTAGTGTTTATCATTCCTAAGCATCCAAAAGCCATATAATTTAATTCTGTTTGAGAACAAAAAATCAGGGCCTTGCCAAACTTGCTTGAAAACTGTTCTTACTAGCACCTGAAGATGCTTTTCATCTCTCTATCTGTGTATTCTTACAAAACCCTAAACTCTGAACAGGTTTTAGGCAGTTTCCCCCCCATATTTATCATAAAAATACAGTGTAAGATTACAAGGACTTATGTTTTTTGGCTAGAAATATATATACTTTTCCTACCGTTTTCCAACAAAGGAACGAATGCATAAGTTAAAAACAAATGTCGCTGTCAACTGCATCAAGTCTGTCAGGCATTTAAATTAAACCGACGTAGGATACACTGATTAAGTTTAACGAAAAGCATCTTCTAGCTTTAAACTCATTCAGTTAGCTCATAATTATCAACAAGAAACATTTCAGCACAAGTTCTGTAAACCCAAAACACTTTGAAGATGCACAAAAGGTACCAATACCACCTTATTTTCTTAAACCAAACAATCCTCACCCCTAGGTTCATTGATTCCTTTGTCACACTTTTCCCCTTCTCTTTTGTTTTGAATTCTTGCCTTAAGAAATAAACCCAGGCCTTGAAACCTTTCAGGTGAAGCGACGTTTGCAAAAAGACATCTTAGGTTATTGTATTTTCCTCCTTCGTGAGCAAGCAATGTTCTCCTACAGCAATGGAAAAATGTGTCTATGTTTTTTTGGAATTAAACAACATAAGGCAATTAAATATTGAGAATCAGTCACGTGAATGATGAACCTTCCCATCAGAAAACGTAGAAGAGGAGGAACTGAACTGGAGCTGATTTACAACCCCATGTCCTAGGCTAGGCCTGAGCATGTCCATCTCTGGTAGCAAGGAAGCCTGTATTGCTTGCCTGCCCAGGTAGCATCTTGCCCACGTTCTCTTAAGTTGAAGGAAGATACTAAGTAAGTGCTTCCTAAAACTGAAGGCCGTTAAAAATCGTTTGGCTCTTCATTATAACATCAAACCCAATCCATAGGTATTTGGCCCCCAAATCCCAAATTGCACGTCAATCTGATTTTGAGAGTTTGCGCTTAACATGTCGGGGAGGTTCCCAAGTGTCGCTATCGTCCGTCTCTTCCTCGTCTTCCTGATCTTCTAGCATTTCATCCTCCTCCTCGTTCTCCTCAAAGAGCTCTATTCCAAGCTCTAACCTTCTTTGCCTTTCTGCAAACCACTCTCTGACCTGCTCATATCCCATGTGAGATTTGGCTACAAGTTCATCAAGGTCTTGCTCATTAAGGAACTTGTGCTTCATGTAGTAGTCCTTCAGGATTGCTGTTCCAGTTTTGAATTTTATGACAGATATACCTCTGTCCCAGCTATTTAACCTCTTGCTTCCCCGAGGCCTCCCCCGAGGCCTTCCTCTCCCCCTCCCTTTTGGTCTTCCTCTCCCTCTCTTCCTCACAAAGCCTTGGCCATTCAGACTGTTTGCATTGGCGCTCTGGTAGTAATAATACCACTTCAATCCACCGTTTTTCCAGGCATAGCGAGTATCTCCGAACCAGCTCACAATTTCTGACCTTGGGAGCCCAGTTTCTTCTGCCAGCTTGTTGTATTCTTGTGGAGACGGCCACTGAGTACGGACAAACGAACTTTTAAGCATGTGCAACTGCTCTGGTGATTTTTTGCCTATTTTGCTTGAACAGGAACCCCCTGATTTTGGCCCTGCTCCATCTCCCACAGATGTTTCTCCAGCCTCCTCTTTTGAGCTGCTGGCATTGCTGTCATTCAGGTCGGCTCCCTCCTCCTTTAAGACCTCTGATTTCCTTCTTTCTGTAAACCAGGCATCAATCTCTCTCCTGGTAAGTTTGGTTTGGGCTCTTAACCTGTTCATTTCTTCATCTGTTAGTACAGGGTTATTAAGAAAACTTGCTTGGAGGACTTGCAGCTGTTCAGCGGTCTTTTCTTTGAATTTCTGTGGGGTGAAATCAGGAAAAGCACTCCATGATGACTTGCTCTGTGGAGTGACTCCCGTTGGGGACTCATTCATTTCATCGCTTGAATCAATAACAATGGTGGCACATGAATCACTGTTGAGATGAATCCCGTGATTATTCTTTGAGTTTCTCTGATTGTAGCGTGTGTCACTGAACCACTTTTTGATCTCTCCTTTAGTCAGGCCGGTTATTTTCATAAGCCTAATAATTTCTGAATCTTGAGGAAACTGATTTTTAAGGTAGCTGACTTTTAATTCTGCCAGTTGTTCCTTTGTTTTTTTTGCTCGGATGCTGAAAGAGTCAGGATTCACTAGCGCGGTTTCATTTTTGATAGGCTGAGGGGCTGGAACGGCAGCTACTTGCTTGGTTTCTGCAACAGGCTGAGCAGTGTGAATTTGACTCTTCTGTAACTGCGTTTGGTTTGGGACTCCTGCTACAGTCAAAGCTATCGGGGCTGTTACTGGCAGTGTATTTGCACCTGCAACTTGAGTGAGAACGAGTCCCGGCTGACCAACTATTTGGCATGTCTGCAAAATGGAGGGCAAACCATTGCTAGCAGCAGAAATGTGTGCTGGAATAACAGTAATTGTCTGTGGCACAGTATGCACGGTGCCATTAAATTGCTTCCTCCTTGCTTCCTCCACTTCCTCCGGTGTCCAGCTCACACCATGTTTCAGACGTTGGGCAGAAAACCATATTTTAATCTGCTCCTCTGTGTACTTAGCTTGAGTGGAAAGAACAGTGATTTCTGACATGGTTGGGTAAGGGAATTTGTTGTAGGTGTTAAGCAAAAGAGGATTGTTATCCAAAGCAGTATTATAGGTTGGAATGCTATTTACAGGTATTAAGACTTTTGGAATCAGGTTTGGATTCTGCGGAGCTGTAACAGCTGTTATAACCTGTGCCACCCCAGGCTGAATCACTGGTGCTGGAGTCACTACTGCACTAGCTACATCTGCTGCACTGCAAACAGCCGAATGGCTTGCTTTTGACTCAGAAACTGCCGATGGTGGGTTTTCTACTACTTCATCAGAGTTTGGCTCATTTTCAGTTCCCTTTTCTTCACCAGGAATGTCATCAACTACATTGTGGAAAACAGCAATGCGTTTAGTCTCCGTTTTGTTTTTCATCATTTTCATAATAGGAGTTTTGCTAATGGAGATCCCTGATGAGGGGACCTCAGAAGGGTCAGCCTGTTCAGCGTTTTCTTCTCTAACGAAACTCCCATCAAAAGTAAGATCATTTACTGTTTGCTCAAAGATTGTCTGATTATTACGTTTCACCATGGTCAATTTAAAATTCTCCTCTCCAGGGTGGTACTTCAAATTATGCTCTGAGAGCGCATCGTATCTTTTGGTAAGAAAATTGCATTCTACACAAACATAGGATGAATTTAATACTACATTGGGATGTTCTGAATCCACATGGAAAGTAAACATATTGAGATCTGGAGTTTGAAAAGTACAGTATTTACATTCATAACCACCTTCTACTTTTAAATTTTTCTGATTGTCTGAATCCACGTACTCGTGGACATCCTCATCACTTGTTATACTCTCTGCTGTGGGGTTCTCTGCTGGCGTGAGTACAGGTGGTCCTTCCTCCATGTCTGATACCATTTCTAGATCCGGATCCTGCTCGTTGGCTAGGACCATGCAAGGTGTTGTGGATTTTCGTTTACTTGCCATGCCTGTTGTGTGAAAATGATACTGACTAATCAGATACAGACTTAGCTTCGAGCTCTTCTTGATTTATAGTAATGGCTTTTGGTACTTCAAGTCAGTTCTTGTAACGTCTCAACATTTATCCCATTAGCAGCTTTTCTTTTGTAGTGCAATCAGATTAAAAATAGATAGTTGAGGATGAAATGTTGAGACACACTGTTTTAAAGTCCACATCCACCACCTGTAGCAAAGAAGAGACAGCATAATTAGTTCAATTTAAATAACTAATTTCTGTTCTACTACGTACTATGGCTATAAGTAATTCGGTTCTCAGGGGGTTCAACCTGCCACTGCTTGTCTTCTGAATCTAGTACATCCATTCCAAGAAGAGACGCTCAAAGCTAAGGTAGGAAAGGCAAAATCCAATTCAGTTACTACAGTCTGAAATTTTGTTTTTATTTCATGGCAACGCAGTAAAAGGCATAAAGCTCAGGATGGTATAAACCGAATAACCTTCTATCCGTTTCCTCTTCTTCAGGAGCCTTTAGCCTGGCATAATACTGAGATCAGCTGTCCTACACCATTTTTACATCTTGCTTTTGGACTGCTTTGTCTAAGCTATGATAACTTCTCTCAACTGCCCTATGGGAACCAGTCCCTCCCACCAAAACTCTCCCCCAAATCTGACCCCTCTGCTACTGACGCCATCATGTTTTTTAAGCCAGAGGTTGTGAAGTGTCCTAGAAAAGGCAGATTAGGAGTGTTTTGCTACTGCACTAAGGGTGCACATGCATGTGCAGGGGAACTTCTTTCCCCAGTCTGAAAACAGGCAAACCAATGCCTGTTTAAGGCATGCTGGCAGACGGAAAATGACTATCCTTTCTTCCTAGCTCCCCAAATGTCACTCGCCAATTGAAGACCAACCCCAGACCAATAAAAGTTGATTGCTAGTATACGGCAGTGAACTAAAATCTGTTTTCATGGCTCTGTGCATTAATGGGGACATGACTGATCAAGTGAATTGTACCAGAAAAATGCAATACGACTGAAATAGCAAGCAGAAGCCAAACAAAATTCTGTATTTTTTTGTTAAGAGATCCTTGTCAGTTTCTAAGAAAAACAGGCACCAAATAAAATTAAGGGCTAAGTAAACTCAGAGAATAAGTAAAATCTTAAATAGCATAGACCGAAGTGAATTTTATCCCACAGGGACCGCAACTGGTGCGTTGGAAATGACGCAGAAACTACCGCGGAGGGTTATAAACTCTGTAATAGTTTTCTTCCTGAAATAAAATCACACACTGATTTCTCCTACCAGAAATCCCTAAGATATGTCAATTTTTAGGCAGTGGAACATCACCTACTTCCCAAAGCGGCCACATCCTCAAGTTCAAGAGGAATACTTAGCAGCAATCACTGTGGGCTGTTTCAGATGGTTTATAAAGGGAATAGCTTTTAACAGGTTAAAAGCAGAAGGCTAGTTTTGTTCATGACAAAGTTTTAAAAGAAAAAGAAGGGCAGTGTGAAAGGAAAAAAGGGGCAAGGAAATACTGTTTTCCACAGTATGGTAACATGATTCGTTATTTTTGATTATGTGGATGGCAGAGGCTGTGGATAGGAGGGAAATGAATAATTCTTAAGCTTCACATTTTGTTTAGAGGGGGGAAAAAAAGAAAAAAGAAAAAAAGTGTTCATCCCTAGTAGCCACATCGTGCTGTTCTATAAACTCTCGTTTTGAAAGTATGTTCTGCGCTTCACTTCTTTCATAATCCTCACCCAATGTTTTTAAACAGCGACCCTCCAAATCTATCTGCACCAATTCTGTGCCTACATCCAAATGCCCAGCCTGACGTGATCTGCTCTTTGTGCCAAGGATACGGTTACACAGTACGAGGACACTGACGACGCTCAATAACTCTCAGGTAGAATCATCGTTCCAGAATGACAACTATTTAATAGCACTGGACTTGAAAGATCCCCTCTTCCACAAGTTAGTTCTGGCAGTCTGTAAAACCATGCACAAGTGTAGAAGATATTTATTTAAACGTATATGAAAGTACGTATTGCGAGCCATCTCATTTATCTTGGCAATGAGAGAGCTGTGAAGCAGAACTAAATGGATCCATTTGTTTCACTGTCCTGTGGGATGCGAAGTAGAGCATTATTAACCATACTGCTTCTCCGGTGGGCCAGATGACTCTTCACAAAAGAAAGACACTGGCCAAGACTAAGTGTTGAGTAATTCTCCTGGGGAAGAGCTGGGTGGCATTACCTAATCCTTCCGCGATCTTGAGTACAATTTCAGAAATGCCAGAAATGCCAATTTTCAAAAGCTACTTGAGGGCTACTTCTGCCAACTTAAGTTGCAGTTTAAAAAGTGACTGAGGCACTTTGCAATGCCTCATCCATACTGCAGAGCGTCGGATCTATACCCAGGGCAGCTGGAGGAAGAGTAGGAGCTTGCTGAGGGCCAAAGCTGAGGTGGCACAACCTGTAAGCAAAAGCAACATTTGACCTCGCATGCAGTGTTGAAGCAAGCTCGAGATACATTTTTCTGGGTTTTTCTTTTTTTCTTTTTTTAAATGTTACTTAAGTTAAATCTCTGTAGCACACCTCTATTGTGATTTGCTGTGGTTGAGTATGTCACACTGTGCATAGGCAGATCATCCTACCCCTCCACTGTTTGCCAGCTGAGCAACGCGTTTCTTTGATGCAAGCAGGTTTCAGAAAAAGAAAGCTTCATTTACACTCTTCTGACTACACTACCTAGGGATTTTTTTAAGAGGATGTTGTAATTTCAAAAACCTATGTTTATGTCAACACAGAGCTATGAAGAGCTGCAAAAGCATTCACTAAAATCTCAACAAAGAAAGATGCTTGCAAACCTTCCCAGCCTTCTGTCCTCCGTAAACTTTACAAAACACCCTGCTCCTTCTCCTTCTTGCTAGCAGGATTATTCCATCTGTAGCACCCTGCTTGACACGTTCCCTCAGTTTACCAGGGGATTGCGAAAACTCAAACTTGAGTAGTTTATCAAACCAATTATGTGCCATACTTATACGCCAGTTCATCTAACACATCTCTCCAGTGCTGCTCACAGGAACGCCGTGCGGGACCCTTGTCAGGTATCTTGACTTCAGTAAGGTTTGCAACATCCCACTTAACACATTTCACTAGGCCAATTACTCTGGCAAAAAATGAAATCAGGTTGGCTTGAAAAAATCCACAGTTTCTTTAGAATCTTATTGTTGTCCAGGTGCTTGCAGACTGATTTTTAGTAAATTCTTCCTGTTCTTCAGGGAACAGAGATTTGGTTGACTGTTCTAGAATTCCCCAAGCGTTCTCCTCCCCTGCTCCTGCCTCCCTCTCTCTCATTTAAGAGTAGGTATTACGTTTGCCTGTCTACAGCCCTCTGGGACTACCCCCAACCTCCATGAATTCTTAAAGATCATCACTAATGGTTCAGAGATTGCTTTGGCTTGTCCCTTAAATACTTCAGGGCCAACTACATAAGGTCTGCATCGTGACAAGATATCATTTAAGCTTTTCCTGTCCTATTCTGACCTTTTAACCCTGGTTGTTAATATTGAAATTATATCGTGCAATTTGGCTTGTCACTGCATGTTTCAGGGGTTTGTAATACATCAAAAGCAGTATTTTTGAATGAAAGAATTTGGAGAAAAACTTTACATTAGTTCCACTTTTAACCTCTCGAGATTTATTCATTATCGTGATCCCCTTTTGGGATTTTACCTCGGATTTTCCTATGGGCTACATTCCCAGCAAAACGAACCCACAAAACAGACAATATCCCAGTGATATAAAAATTTAAGTGCAAGCATATGTTTTTGAAGGTTCAGGACCTTAAATCCTATCTTTGAACATGCAATTGCTCAGGAAGCTGCTCTTCACAAATGGAACATAAACCATTAATAATCCCAATTCATTAACTGTTATTTTAACAGAGATTTATTCTCCAGAGTGAAATTCAACACTCAAAAAGTTCTCTCTATTTCAGATTTGGATAAAGTTTTAAATAAATATTTCCTAAATGCAGAGAGAAACCTCCTTGCCTCTTATAAGATTAGAATTTGAGAAGGAAAAGATAAAGGGCTGAAGCAGGAGATTTATGTATAAAAGGTATTTCTCACACAAATTTTTACCCACCTCTTCTCCCTCCCCCCGCAGTAAGAAGCAGCTGATGCAGCAAGGAATAAAGGAGTTACAGGAAGCGTTCACCCTATGTTCAGGTTATGTGCTTTGTGAAAAGTCATTTTCCCCTGCTTGCTGTATGAAACTTTTATCCAGCAGGCAGGCAAAAGGAAAAAAAAAATCAAAATCGAATAATGTGACTGTAAGAACACACACAAGGAGGGTGACTCGGGAGAAGATGTAACAGTGGAAACTGCTTCTAACTTTTAAAAAATCACCTCAATTCCAAGTTGCCTACAATCTTTCTTAACACAGAAGACATTATTTTGTCTTCTCCTTTTATCTTCCGGTTAACCCATGACAATATGGGATCGTCAACCCCTTCCTTAGCCTCCTCCTATTACCAGTTATTCAGCGTAGATACATCCAAAGTCAAGAACCACTCTGCACGGGGCTCAGGGCAGGCTAGTCCGCTCTCACTGGTACTGCCCCTCAGCCAGAAGGGTGAAGCACTTCGTTTTCTACTGCCATTTTCTTCAGTTGTTCATTGTTTGCAAAGTTCAAAGGGCGCTATTGCTATAAAGAACAAAGCTCAATTTTGACCTGGCAATGTTCACGTTTCCTTCTAGTTTTAAAATAAGGTCTGATCCCAATTCAGCAAAGCAACAATGCTTATCAAACCGATGTCAGGAGGACTTCACGTGTGCCAGAAGGTAAGAGCAAGCTTAAGGGCCTTGTTGCATTGCAGCTTGCACGGGTACCAAAAGGTCCTGCCCTGTCTGCCCACACACAACTACAAGATATGCCAAAACCAGACCTGTGTTGAGGTTGAGAAAGAGGAACCCAGTGCGAAGGCCACCGGAGGCTGAAGGGAGTCTGCCACAGGACATGCCACCAGACTTGCTTGGTTAACTCTCATCCCCACCGGTTTTAATGGGTTACTGAGTAGGTTCCATCAAAGTAAACTCTTCAGAATCTCAGGCCAGAAGTGACCGTTAAATGACCTTGATTCTCTTTCTCTATTATAAAATGCCTCCCGGGTACCCCTACGATGAGCATGGTAATTTGTGCTACTGCTTTTGACACACACAGCCATAACCAGACTTTATGTCTGATCCTATAGATGCCGCTGATCAAATCTGGCAAGTACTTAATCGTGGCTGCATTGACTAAGTACCTTCAACATATACGGTACTGCCCTCCATTCTTCAGTCACATAAGCATGTATTTTCTACTTTATCCAGTCATCTTGGCAGCTCAGCCTCACATAGGCAGGTCTCGATTTTCAGATCTCCAGAGCGTTAGTTCAAATTGTGAGCACTCATCACGTATCTCTGGGTGATTATTCTTGAAAGTGAGTATCAGACCTGGTTAAGATCACTTATGCATATGCTTATCATATCCAATAAACAGTAGCCGAGCTAGGGATACATTTTTTGCATAGTTATATCTCTGTTTTGTTTTGCTTGCTGTGCTGTTACATAGCGGAAAGAAAAGAAAAGAAGAGAAAAGAAATTATTGACCTGACAAGATTTAAAAGAATGTTTTGGGTTGAATAAACATTTAATTCAACCTCCAAATGTTTATTTCATACTGTCTTTTAAAGAAATAGAACAGAAAAAAAATACTCCTTTTAAAAATGGTTTATCAAAAAAGTTTCTTCTTGAAATGTCAAAACAAAAGGTTTTGTTCTCCTGGGATTTCCTTCTTTAAAATGAAACAATCTGGCACAGAAACAATTTCACAAAATGTTCCTTTCAACTCATATCTGCAATTTTTTTTTAGCTGAAAAATTTCTAGAGACCTTAGTTTTCCCAGGCCCCAGTGTCGAGCTGGAAGTACAAGACCTTCCCTTCACTCCCCGGAGCTCTTGTCCCCAGACACCTTTCAGCTTTTTCAGAGACTAAAGCAGCACTCCTACAGATGGTCTCCTTTGCTAGAGAGCCCGACTCATTCTCTAGTCATCGCTCATGCTGTACGGGAACCCCCGCGTGCGCAGAGGTGACGCAGCGCAGCACAGACCGTCCCCCTCCTC